GTACGTGGCTTTGGGCATCGTAAAAGTCGCGTGCTGACATCTTGATATTATTTCAACGGTACTATCCTTAGTTTAACCTTGCTTCAAATGTATCAATGGTGGTGAAATTAAGTCGAGATTCATTCATTTATCAAACCTCATATTTCTAAAACGCTTTACAGAGACACATGTCCCAAGGAAGTACAAGCGTGCTGCGACGTAAAATCCTGCAGTCTGCTCGCTGGGGCTGAATGTGCAACTGGACCCTGCTGTGACATCCAATCAACCTTTGGAGATCCGTCTCGCACTACCTGCAAACTAAAACAGAGTGGATCTGTGTGTCGTGAGGCGGGTAACTCTTGTGACCTTCCTGAGTACTGCAGTGGGGAGTCGGAATGGTGCCCTGCTGACGTCTTTAAGACTGATGGGGAAGTCTGTTACACACGAGAGGGTTATAAGGTGAGGCCAAAGTCCAATCACCACCCCTCCAACAGGTGATTACGCAATGTCAGCCTAGCAGGACGAGGGTGATCTAATTTTTAAGTACTTTGCCTACTGAGATCCGAATGAGTGCGTCTAGCTGCCCCGGGCATGATGCTGTATCATTTCGGATGAGTTAATTTGAGCTGAAAGCTAGTAGGTACTGAAATCTAACTTTTCCACCGGCTTTATCTTAAGTGAAATGGAATGTAGATGAATCTCGTGAAAATCCAGTATTTGGAATTACCCGAGACTTTCACAATAATAGTGTTCCGTTGATTCAGATAAAGGCGCTGGCCTAATAGTTGTCAAAATTATCCAAAGGTCAAACGCAAATTACGATTCGCTTGATGCTCTTATGGTTAGTCACCTTAATAGGTTATCAAAGTGATGAATTGTTCAATGCTGGATATTGCACAAGCAGTTGTTTCACAACGCATTCATTTAAATGGATTTGTGGTTTAATGTTTTGCCCTGCTAGTATGATCTGCCTATGAGTCTAGCATAAATCCACGAAAACTGAAACTCAAAGTTTATTCACAAGTTTTGACTACGTTAAATGTTAAAAATTGGACACCAGAAGGATGAGGAGTGAAGCCTTCAAGGGCGTATTAAAATGCTGACTTTATTGTTGAAGTGGGTGCTATTTTTTTGTGACTTTGAAATCTCATTCTGCTTTTAACGGGGTACCAAACCTTGCAAAGATGACTCACCTCCTCCACCTATGTTTGGTTTTACGAGGCAGTTTTTTACAAAGCGAAAGTTGCCTCCGCTATTGCAATTTTAATGTCTCAATAGCTGGCATACAAATGCTTCTTTGCACTATCAATTTAATGATCTTTTTGACATTTGATGGTCGGCCCTTCGCCGCATCCGTTGTCTCATGACGCCGCAGTCCACTCAGAATTTACCGACAACCTATTGTTGACTATTTGTGCACGTGCGCGAGCCAAAAAATGCGCCAACTGGAATGTATTTATTTTTGTTTACCATTGCAAATATGGGATCCATTACGCTTAAATGTTGTCGTTTGAAATTTTGGTTTGCCGTCCGATAAAAAGACACTATCAATGCGCATTTGTCCAATGTCAAACGCACGCAAGATGGGTTTCGGTAGGGTGTTTTCTGCTGGACATGACAAGGTGTGGCGCCACTCTGGTAAAGGCATTACGTCACCAACTATACCTTAGTCACGGGTTCCATGACTTGGTACGACATTTGGTTTCTTCATACTGTGCTACATCAGCTTCGCTAGACGATCATCATCTGCAGCTTGCGTTTTGTTTACGTTTGACAATGGTCAAATTATTCAAGTCGAGGCATTCGTGATGCCTACCGTTAAAAGCAAAATGAATGTGGTGAGGGGCAATAATTATTTCAACCCCTTTGAACATTTGTTATGTATGTTGAGGTTGTTTAAGCTTGCGCGGATGAAGTAGTGCGCATTCCCATTTTTCAGTCACATTGCATCCGCGGCGGCTGCAATGCCCCGGACGAGTGGTGTCGGGTTCTTTGGGGCCCTACGGGTCTGGCGGCGGGGCCGGACTGTGTCGCCCACAATATGATACGTGATGCTAATAATGCCATTGACAAGGTTGCCAATTGTGGGCGTCTCAGACCTCGAGGTGACGAGCGCTGGCGTGAAATGGATCAATGGCCATCCAAGGCCTGCAATGATTGGCGAGTTCCCTTCGCTATTTCTCACCACATTTATTCTGCAATTTTCGCTTGTAACGGGACTGTTTGCCTCTCTTGCAGTAAAACCGTCGTTGGAAAATCTGATCACTCTTTTTCATACCTCAAACTCATCTCATATTTGAATGGTTTATTAAAGCGACAGGAGGAGACTTTGAATTACTTGCTGCTTTCACTTGATCGAGACGGTCTTTGAAGAAACCGGCCACTGGGAAAGCGTCTAGCCAGCGTTTCAGTATTTCTTACTGATAATTGTCAATGTTCCTGTCCTATTTATGGTTTATTTTCTTCAAGCAAACCGTTTAAATCAACATAATTGAAACATTGAATCATTGAATTACAACAAGACTTTGATTCTATTTCCACTTGAGCTGTCGCCTAAGCTTAAAGAACCTATGAGTGAAGGGAAGCTACTAAATACTAAAGAAATTGCCCCCTCTGTTGTCACTTAACAGGGCTGACGCGGAATGTGGCCGACTGTGGTGCATGCATCGGAACGAGAAGGCTATGCTGATTGGATGGCAGGAGCGGCAGTCTCGTACAGATCCGCATTCCCAGAGGACATGCGTGGCGCTAGTTTACGATCCCCTGGATCCCCTACAGCACTCTGAAACGACTCCTGAGACGGGCTTTTCCGGCCCAGGTTGGGGTGATGCAGCCTCTGTCACTCAGGATGCCGGTATGACTCCTGATGGAACGCCGTGCCAACGGGGAGTGAGTTCTCCCTTCCTGCATGTTCAAGTTTAATGTCAAACATTTGCAGTTTTTAGTGCTCCTTAATGTAGCTGCCGATTGGTTCCATAATTTGCCACTTGACTACCGTTAAAGATTCAGGTTACTCATTTTGATGGGAAAGCATCTTCATAACCATATTCCGATTGCTTATTATTGGTTTATAATTTCGCTTGAGCATTATGCTACAAATGCTTAATTGTTACCGTTGTGATCAGGTTTATCCACTAGTTTCACTTCTAAGTATGTTCAATATCGTAGTTACCAAAGCTTAACCCTAAAGGCAGAATTTGTGTCCTAGTGGCAGAGTATGATGTGGAATTGATACTTGTATACTAGGACTCAATCAATAAAACCAGTAATAAATACAAAAATAGCTATACCCTAATAGTATTATGGCCTTGTGATTACTTCTACTTGCCGTACCAGTTGTGCTACAACGGAACTTGCATCAGGCGCGATGATCTCCCGTTCCGAAAAACGTGCAATTGCAACTACAATGGAGTAAGAAGATCTCCTGGCTTTTAATACTGCGTGCTTTCGCGGCATTGAATTGCATGCACTTTCTCACTCCTTCCGTAGGTGTGCAACAACCTCGGTCATTGCCACTGCAATATTGGCTACGCTCCACCAGACTGCAAAAAGAGCGGAAACGGGGGCTCAGTCGACAGCGGGCCTCCACCACCATGTAATTTCTACTGAAACCTTTACTTTTAGCATAGTCATTGAAAAATAAATATTTGGTCATTGAATCCATTAACCCATCCATCCGAGTTCAGGCACATTGAGGGGAACCTCTCCTCTCCAACATTTTTGAGCTCTTTACCCGATTCGGGCTCAGTTAGAACTCAAGCTGACGCTGCATTCCCTTATGTATGACATTCCTCTCACTGCTCTCGAAATTACTACCGTAAACGCGGCGTGTCCATGATGGTACTACTATTGTTCTCCTTCGGAGTCATCCTCCATTGACATTTGAAGGGGAAGGCTTTACTATATATCATACAGATAGCTAAAAACAAATATTAACCTTCTGAAGCCACCATTTTTTAACACAAAGCAAATGGAGCTGGGCGCTGCAATTGACAGATCCGTACTCGATCAATTTCATGCGAATTAACTCAAAGGGACACGATTTCTTATGTTGCCCAATGGAGGTCGCTTTTGTCAAATGACCAATTCTCTGCTACCTCGACCGGAAGCGCACGGCGAATTTTGGGGAGTTTGACAGAGTTAGGATTTCGGCTGAGATGGCACCGGCTACTGGGTTAGCGTATTTTTTAGCGTTTTGTAACTCCCTCAAAGGGACCGGAGCGAGCGTGCGTTTTGAACCTAATCAATTGATCTCCCACCATGTAGCCGAATACGCATCACTCCATGCGTATTTAGCCACATTCACATACCTAATGCATGATAATCTTTCGTGTTCTATCACATGCGTAAGTGTAATAAGTTGTTTGAGAGGTATCCCTTAATGCTTAGCGCTTTGGATTTCTTTCCTGGAACAGTCCTGCGCGACACCTTAATAGAAGGACATACGTTTGTTTTTGTGTTAGGATATTCCAAGGTAAAGTATTCAAGTGGCTATGCTGCAAGTTCCGTATTCCTACTTAAAAGCGAAATTCATTCCGTCTGGATGAACAGATGCATGATAGGGCAAGTGAAGTGATTTTCTACTGGTTATTGTGTCACCTGCTAAGGCATTTGCCAAAGTAAAAACGGATAGTTTGCCGAGTATTTCTGCTGCTGGTAATAATCGAGCAACCGACCACTTTTTCCTATTTAGCCGACCAACATCGTTCTTACTAATCCATTTCATACCGGTTAATCAGATAGAAGGCTGGGTATGTGATTAAAAGTGTACGTCAGTTTAATCACATAGTAACATTTAACCATAAATGTTTGGCTTTGATAAAGTCGCCAACCTTTGACCAGTAGATATGTATTCTACCATCTTTCGTGTTTTAGCGTGGCACGAATATGGCTTTATATTCGCCATATGCCTCATCGTATTCATTCTATGCCCAGCATTCCTGCTGTGCATGTACTGCCTGCTATGCCGATGCCGAAAACGAAGGCTCATCTTTCCCAAATCCGAGCCCCTTCCTCCACCCTCTTCCTATGGAGAACCGTTTGACTGGGGCGGCTTTTTCAAATCCATATGGTATTGTTTTGTAGGGATACTAAGTTCACTTACATGACTACAATAGTGGAAAACATTAACTGTGCTCTTCCTCGTCAACCAGGCAATGCTGTCGTAGATGCAAACCGCACTTTGACAACGATCCCCCGATAATCGTCACGTTTGGACCACCAGATTCCAAGGAGCTGCTCAAGAATGGCAATATTTTCACGACAACTGGAAATGCTCTGCTGCAAAATGGCCATTCTGTGAAGGCAATCACGGCGAAGCCAAACGGTAACGCTTCACATGTGCTTGTGTACCCGGTGGCAACCAAAGAGGTACACGGATTCTCTCCTGAAGCCTTCCGTCGAGAGCTCATGCAAGAATTCAATAAGGATAGTAAAAAACCGGTCTTTTTGAGGTAAGGTGCGAATAATTTTACACAACCACAACTAGAATGCGCCTCAGAAACATGACTCGTACAAAGCACCTCATGAGATTCAATCAATCAAAGTTAGTCTCCTACTGCATAATATTATTTTAATGGGGTTAAATTTGAATGAATTTAGACGTCTTAGCTGCTAAGTGTTTACGCGATCAAAAACATGGAATTCTCCCTTTAATAAACTTGACACCAAGGGGAAAAAATTTTACAATTCGTGCCTACATTACTGGCGTGAATAAATCTTGAACACTAATACCATTTCATGCGCTGAAATCGATAAACGCCTCCATGGACATTCAGCAAAGTTACCCAGGTGTAATGATTGCATGATTCAGAGAACTTGAGGCCGAATGGGAAGCAGCAGAACACGAAGCAGGTACGTCGAAGGACTCATCTCTGGGATCCTTGACACCCGAATATGGGCCAGGCAATGTACGCATGGAAATATCGTCACCACGGTTAGAAAACACCACGTTTAAAGGCGAGACGCGCTCCCTAGCTTTGGCGGCTCGGATCCAACAGCAGCAGCGTGCCGCCCACCATCGAAGACCGGCAGACATGTTGGGTCCAAAGACAACTAACCAGAGCTTGCGTCACCCCACCTCACCCATCAGCGGTACGCAGACTGGAACCAAACAGTTCTCTACCACCTTCAATGAGTCCGCCAAGCTCGATATATCCGCACCCACACTTCAAACCTCTACGTACAAGCATGATCTAATAGAGCTTCCTGAAGCTTATTCTACCCTAAAGAATTCGAAGAGGGTTAAGAAATCCAGAATGGTCTCCAGAGATCCGACATTGCACCCAAAACGATAATCAAGTTTCATTTTGTACTAGGAGTTCCTGTTTTTGGACTTTCTTCAAATAATTCTTTCCCAATCAGAAAAGGTTATCAGGAGACCAAAGGCCATTCCACAGTTCTGTGAATACCTTGACTATTTAAAAACTTACTATTTTTTCCAACTGTCCAAAAAACTAGCGCATTTCAACGTCTTTCTTTGGTCACAATGGTTCACCTTCACTTCACGAACACCCTGAAGAGGCTTAGGTATCACCTCATGAATTGTTGATTACTGCCAAGTTCGCTGTACTTCTTGCCTTCAATTATCTGCTAACGCTGTTCCCGTACTAGCACTGCTTTGGGGCTGTCTCTCCAATTTTGATATTTATGTATAACCACTTTTCTACGTCTTATTTCTGAGGCGTATAATCCGATTTTGATCCGATTAAGCCCCATCCTACATAGGCAGACCCGTTGGGCTTATACAATAAGGGTATGCATATCTATCTCCTTACCAAAACAATAGCACAAGTCGTATCTCGACACCGCAAACACAGTGAACTCTGCTGATGTTACCTCCACTGCATACTTTTATGCCGAATACCCCAGATTCCTTTACAAAGCATTCAATACGTGGGAGCACAGTTGAGTGCACAGACTTCCATCTGTTATCTGACCCAAATTCAAAAGAACGAGTGGTAGTTCATGTTGTGTGCCGTGAATCAATGTGCATTTTAGGGTGAATGAAATATAAATGCAAAAAAGCAGTGGTATGCATTATGTTCGAAGACCGTGAATTGTCTAGTTAGAAGCAATCTCGAATTCCGCCAGCCTAAAAGCAGTTATTGTTGGTGTAAGTTGCGGATACTGGGCATGGAAGTGCGACTAAGATGGAAGGTGATGTATCAATCTATCCAAGGGACTGTCCCATATTCGGTGGGATTTACAGCTCATTCAATCAGGTAGAGGTAAGATCAAGCCACCGCTTTTATTTTCGAAAGAAAAGAAATCAGAGGATGTGCACTTACCCTTCTAGGCGGTATCTGAGTAGGAAATGAGACGTACCGTGATTCGGTAAGTGGCGGTGCCAGGCGGCTGGCCGGGATGTTTGAGTAGTCGTGCGGTGCGATACTGATCCGCATCAGCCCCTTCTGCCTTGGAGAGGAGGAGGCGCACCGAACAGACATGTCCCCAACTTTCCCCCAGAGCTGGCACTAGAGTGCTGTGAGTGGTAGCAGATTTCGTGTTGGTGACAAATTTGGTTGTTATCTGATTTGTCATGATCACCTAAATAATGCAGAAAAGAGATCGTCACCACACCTAGACGACGGTGGACGAAGGTAGGATGAATTCCCGGCGAGGCTTGATAGACCAAATTCATAACAGTAGCCACACAATTTAGCTGAGCTTCAAACAGATGTACTGGTTACCAATCATTACCGTAAGGAGACGTAGATGGTTTTTATTAGTCCCCACTGCTAAGCAAGTAAATGACACATTGCCAAAGCTTACAGCTGCACTTTGTGAACTCGCAGTTGAGAGAAGGGATTGTGCGACGGCAGCTAACAGTCGGTTCCGCTGCGGGATGTCCTCAAATTCGTATCGGAATGGAAAAGCAATGCTGTCTACGATAATGAGTCTGATCTACAAGTAAATATCTGCTCAAATGGATGAGCTAATAAGCAAAAGGAATATCTCTGCTAACTATAACGCATCCAGATATGCGTTGAACTTACGTGGGGATGATATTTACAGAACTCCCCCAATCTTTGAACAGCCGCAAGCAGTTGAAGATAACCAGTACATCTAATGTAGTGGACTTTGCTTAACAGACTATCCTCTGTTGGTAATCTTTCCAGAGCGTCACGACAGGCAGCCTTCTCTTCTGCATCACTATGTCCATCACCTCGAAGAAATTGAACACGTATTTACGACTGTGCAGCGCACCTGGATCGAAGTGGATTACACACGCAACAAAACCCGTCATAATGAGTTTAGTCCTATCAAACCATACAAAGCTTGCATGGTAGGGCTCAACGACTAAAGAATGAAACTCGTACAAGACTAAAAAGTTTAAAATT